CCAACAACGTTCTTAAAAACACGAAGTACAGCACTAGGACTTTAATGCGCATAACCAAACAACAGCAAAAACACTAGATACAAAAGATACAGTGGAGTGTAGAAATAACACTCAACGTTAACGTTTACGTTGATTTTTTTATGGATTAATTTCTATTTCTGTTTTAAATTGGTCAGTGGAGTGTAGAAATAACACTCAACGTTTACGTTTACGTGGATTTTTTTATGGATTAATTTATAATTCTTTTTTAATTGGTGGATTTAGTATTCTATAGGTACAAATTGATAATGAGGTGTCCATGAAGCAAAATGATCAAAGAGTAAGAAAACAGTCGCAATTAGGAAAATATAATCAAATTAGAAGAGAGGATCCCTCAACATCTTCGGTAGTGTCCACGAAGTCGAGCATAACTTTCTCATCCGGACTCCAAATCAACTCGTTCCGACGGCATTAGAAAGCTATTTGAGCTGGCTACAATTCCTGTCTAATTTCAAATTTCAAAATTCGGACTCGAACATGGTCAAAATTGGATTCCAAAAGCGATCATGAAAATACCCGCTACAGTTCGAGGACACGAATGCGCATCAAGAAACGTGCACAAAAATACTCGCTACAAAAGATACGCACATAAGTAAAAGTACAAAATCATGCACAAAAGTACTCATGCAAAAGTGCATTCGCAAAAAGGTTCATGAAAACACAAACTACAATCCTAGGACATTAATACAAATCAACAAACATGCACAAACACACTCGCTCAAATGGACATGCACAAACATACATGTAAAAAAACATGCGCAAAAGTGCATTCGCAACAACGTTCTTAAAAACACGAAGTACAACACTAGGACTTTAATGCGCATAACCAAACAACAGCAAAAACACAAGATACAAAAGATACAGTGGAGTGTAGAAATAACACTCAACGTTTACGTTTACGTGGATTTTTTTATGGATTAATTTATATTTCTGTTTTAGTTGGTGGATTTAGTATTCTATAGGTACAAATTGAAAATTAGGTGTCCATGAAGCAAAAATGATCAAAGAGTAAGAAAAGAGTTGCAATTAGCAAAATAAAATCAAAATAGAAGAGAGGATCCCTCAACATCTTCGGTAGTGCCCACGAAGTCGAGCATAACTTTCTCATTCGGACTCTAACTCGACTGGTTCTGGCGGCATATGAAAGCTATTTCAGCTGGCTACAATTCCTGTCTAATGTCAAATTTCCAAATTCGGACTCGAACATGGTCAAAATTGGATTCCAACAGCGATCATGAAAATACCCGCTACAGTTCGAGGACACGAATGCGCATCAAGAAACGTGCACAAAAACACTCGCTACAAAAGATACGCACATAAGTAAAAGTACAAAATCATGCACAAAAGTACTCACGCAAAAGTGCATTCGCAAAAAGGTTCATGAAAACACAAACTACAATCCTAGGACATTAATACAAATCAACAAACATGCACAAACACACTCGCTCAAATGGACATGCACAAACGTACATGTAAAAAAACATGCGCTAAAGTGCATTCCCAACAACGTTCTTAAAAACACGAAATACAACACTAGGACTTTAATACACATAACCAAACAACAGCAAGAACACTAGATACAAAAGATACAGTGGAGTGTAGAAATAACACTCAACGTTTACGTTTACGTGGATTTTTTTATGGATTAATTTATAATTCTTTTTTAATTGGTGGATTTAGTATTGTATAGGTACAAATTGATAATGAGGTGTCCATGAAGCAAAAATGATCAAAGAGTAAGAAAACAGTTGCAATTAGGAAAATATAATCAAATTAGAAGAGAGGATCCCTCAACATCTTCGGTAGTGTCCACGAAGTCGAGCATAACTTTCTCATCCGGACTCCAAATCAACTGGTTCCGGCGGCATTGGAAAGCTATTTGAGCTGGCTACAATTCCTATCTAATTTCAAATTTCAAAATTCGGATTCGAACATGGTCAAAATTGGATTCGAAAAGCGATCATGAAAATACCCGCTACAGTTCGAGGACACGAATGCTTATCAAGAAACGTGCACAAAAACACTCGCTACAAAAGATACGCACATAAGTAAAAGTACAAAATCATGCACAAAAGTACTCACGCAAAAGTGCATTCGCAAAAAGGTTCATGAAAACACAAACTGCAATCCTAGGACATTAATACAAATCAACAAGCATGCACAAACACACTCGCTCAAATGGACATGCACAAACGTACTTGTAAAAAAACATGCGCAAAAGTGCATTCGCAACAACGTTCTTAAAAACACGAAATACAACACTAGGACTTTATTACGCATAACCAAACAACAGCAAGAACACTAGATACAAAAGATACAGTGGAGTGTAGAAATAACACTCAACGTTTACGTTTACGTGGATTTTTTTATGGATTAATTTATAATTCTTTTTTAATTGGTGGATTTAGTATTCTATAGGTACAAATTGATAATGAGGTGTCCATAAAGCAAAAATGATCAACGAGTAAGAAAAGAGTTGCAATTAGGAAAATATAATCAAATTAGAAGAGAGGATCCCTCAACATCTTCGGTAGTGTCCACGAAGTCGAGCATAACTTCCTCATCCGAACTCCAAATCAACTGGTTCCGGCGGCATTAGAAAGCTATTTCAGCTGGCTACAATTCCTGTCTAATGTCAAATTTCAAATTCGGACTCGAACATGGTCAAAATTGGATTCCAAAAGCGATCATGAAAATACCCGCTACAGTTCGAGGACACGAATGCGCATAAAGAAACGTGCACAAAAACACTCGCTACAAAAGATACGCACATAAGTAAAAGTACAAAATCATGCACAAAAGTACTCACGCAAAAGTGCATTCGCAAAAGGTTCATGAAAACACAGACTACAAACCTAGGACATTAATACAAATCAACAAACATGCACAAACACACTCGCTCAAATGGACATGCACAAACGTACATGTAAAAAAACATGCGCAAAAGTGCATTCGCAACAACGTTCTTAAAAACATGAAATACAACACTAGGACTTTAATACGCATAACCAAACAACATCAAGAACACTAGATACAAAAGATACAGTGGAGTGTAGAAATAACACTCAACGTTTACGTTTACGTGGATTTTTTTATGGATTAATTTATATTTCTGTTTTAATTGGTGGATTTAGTATTCTATAGGTACAAATTGATAATGAGGTGTCCATGAAGCAAAAATGATCAAAGAGTAAGAAAAGAGTTGCAATTAGGAAAATAAAATCCAATTAGAAGAGAGGATCCCTGAACATCTTCGGTAGTGTCCACGAAGTCGAGCATAACTTTCTCATCCGGACTCCAAATCAACTGGTTCCGGCGGCATTACAAAGCTATTTCGATGGCTACAATTCCTGTCTAATGTCAAATTTCCAAATTCGGACTCGAACATGGTCAAAATTAGATTCCAAAAGCGATCATGAAAATACCCGCTACAGTTCGAGGACACGAATGCGCATCAAGAAACGTGCACAAAAACACTCGCTACAAAAGATACGCACATAAGTAAAAGTACAAAATCATGCACAAAAGTACTCACGCAAAAGTGCATTCGCAAAAAGGTTCATGAAAACACAAACTACAATCCTAGGACATTAATACAAATCAACAAACATGCACAAACACACTCGCTCAAATGGACATGCACAAACGTACATGTAAAAAAACATGCGCTAAAGTGCATTCCCAACAACGTTCTTAAAAACACGAAATACAACACTAGGACTTTAATACACATAACCAAACAACAGCAAGAACACTAGATACAAAAGATACAGTGGAGTGTAGAAATAACACTCAACGTTTACGTTTACGTGGATTTTTTTATGGATTAATTTATAATTCTTTTTTAATTGGTGGATTTAGTATTGTATAGGTACAAATAGATAATGAGGTGTCCATGAAGCAAAAATGATCAAAGAGTAAGAAAACAGTTGCAATTAGGAAAATATAATCAAATTAGAAGAGAGGATCCCTCAACATCTTCGGTAGTGTCCACGAAGTCGAGCATAACTTTCTCATCCGGACTCCAAATCAACTGGTTCCGGCGACATTGGAAAGCTATTTGAGCTGGCTACAATTCCTGTCTAATTTCAAATTTCAAAATTCGGATTCGAACATGGTCAAAATTGGATTCGAAAAGCGATCATGAAAATACCCGCTACAGTTCGAGGACACGAACGCTTATCAAGAAACGTGCACAAAAACACTCGCTACAAAAGATACGCACATAAGTAAAAGTACAAAATCATGCACAAAAGTACTCACGCAAAAGTGCATTCGCAAAAAGGTTCATGAAAACACAAACTGCAATCCTAGGACATTAATACAAATCAACAAACATGCACAAACACACTCGCTCAAATGGACATGCACAAACGTACATGTAAAAAAACATGCGCAAAAGTGCATTCGCAACAACGTTCTTAAAAACACGAAATACAACACTAGGACTTTAATACGCATAACCAAACAACAGCAAGAACACTAGATACAAAAGATACAGTGGAGTGTAGAAATAACACTCAACGTTTACGTTTACGTGGATTTTTTTATGGATTAATTTATAATTATTTTTTAATTGGTGGATTTAGTATTCTATAGGTACAAATTGATAATGAGGTGTCCATGAAGCAAAAATGATCAAAGAGTAAGAAAAGAGTCGCAATTAGGAAAATATAATCAAATTAGAAGAGAGGATCCCTCAACATCTTCGGTAGTGTCTACGAAGTCGAGCATAACTTTCTCATCCGAACTCCAAATCAACTCCACTTGCCAAATCACCATCCTATGAGGATTTTTCTAGCCTCAAACTACCGGTCCCTAAGCCCATCTCAGCCCCTAACTCTCCTAAGAAAGACCTATCTTCCACTCTAAAACCGGCTCACGATAATATTACTCAAATTCGAGCCTAAAACCCTAAAACGGACCACCTAAACCCCAATCTTGTGGCCCAAGCTGGTTTTATGTCCAATTCAAACACTAAAAATGATATTTCTATCCCTATTTCTAAATTGGACAATCATAATCCGAATTCCCAATTCCAAACTCAAAATCCCCAATTAAAAAACCCCAATCCCGAAATTGAAACCCCTAATCCCGAAATTCAAACCCCAAAATTCCAATTCCTAACCAAATCCTTTGCTGCTGCTGTACACGGTGATCTCGGACCTCCAATTGCTTCTTCTAAGGTTGATCGTCGTCGTCACTTGCTCCACCAAGAAGATATCGCTCCAATTGGGACAATTAAAGTGATAGATGGCAAGAATGTGCTCTATTTCTCGAAAGAGGAGGTTGATAAGATGCTTGAGCCGTTAAAGTACACCTTGATTGGTAAGTTTTCTCATGGGATACATCACTACAAAGTTATGGAGAAGTTTATTTACGATTTAAAGCCCCGCGGTTCCTTTGAGTTGCATAAATTGAATTATCGGCATGTGTTGATTCAATTCTCGGTATTAGATTATTATTCTTTACTTTTGAGAAGATCGATATGCTATATTGATGGGCTGCCCATGCGTGTTTTTAAATATACTCCGGGCTTTAATTTGAAAAACGAAACTTCTATAGCGCCGGTCTGGGTTAATGTGCCGGGAGTTCCTCCTTATATGTACAACCGGGAAGCTATATTCTTCCTTGCTTCTTCTATTGGAAATCCACTTGAGTTTGATGATTTTACAGCCGATCGAAAGAAGCTATCTGTTGCTCGATTTTGCGTCGAAATTGATCTCTTGAAACCGAGGGTTGAACAAATTCCGGTGATGACTGGCTATGATGATGTTGAGATGATTTCCTTGCCGGTAAACTACGAGAACGTCCCAAAATTCTGCACGTTTTGTTCTCACCTGGGTCACTCGGTTGAAAATTGTTATATGAATGGAAATGCTAAAAAACCGGATTTTCCACCACCGCCACAACGGATTCCCAAACCCACAGCCTTACCAAAGGAAAAACAAGTTTGGCGACGAGTTGAAAAGAGGAAAAATGTTGTTGTTGAAAACATGGATATTCCTAAAACATCGGGGACAAAATCAACTGAAAATCCTAGTTTTTCTCAAGCTATTGTGCGGACTACTGCCGATAATATTAGTGAAGGAGATTTTGAGCATTACAACCCCTTTGAATTGTTGGAGAGTGGGGCTCAAGAGGATATAGAGGCTGCTCAGATTCAACCGGATGTTGCTTCCAAACATGTTACAAAATCTTCGAAAAAGGGCCGAAAAAATACTTCTAACACCAAACAACCGATGAGCCCAGACCCTATAGATACTATTGCCGATGATCAAGCAACTGATTTAGATGATATGGAGGCCTTATCCATGTCCAAAAAAAATCAGCATGTGTCTCCCTCCAAAAAGAACAGAAATCAAGCTTCTAGTTCCCGAACCGCAAAGGGGGCAGCCCTCTCAACCCCCTCTCTATCACCTTCAGCCACTTCGGTGGCCAAGGATGTTCCCCTTAATCATGGGGTACACGGACGAGAGGGGTCAGGACTTTCGGCGGGTACGGATCCGATTACACCTACGTCGGCTGCCTTATTTTGCGAACACTATGTGACCAAGGTCCGGCCCACGGCCGATCAAAATTTGGCCGGCACGCCTCCTTTCAATCACCTTGCCATGATCCCTTATGAGCCCGTGAGCCCAGCCACGAGCATACGCCCAGCTAATCACGCTACTCCGGGCTCTATCACTGATGAACCTTCGGCCTCGTAGCGATCGAGCCTAATTGATGCTGAGCGTTGGCGTTTGCAGAATGCCGAACGTTGGCATGCGGAGGAGGCCCACCTTATTGGTAACTCATTCTTTGTCACATCTCGGAAATCTTCAGATGGGTCGCATTCCCCCTCTTCTTGATGTCGGGTAAATTCTTGGTTTGGAATGCAAGGGGGGTAAAAAATAAGGCGACCCAATCCCACTTGCGCTTTATTTGTCGCCAACATAGAGTTAATTTATTGGTTATTTCTGAACCTATGATACGATCCGCTCGAGATCGAAGACTAAGAATTGGAATATTTGTCCGGATTCGAGGACGAATCCATTTAAAGAGGGGGAGAATGATACGATCCGCACAAGCTCCAAGACAAAGAATTGGAAGAAGAGAAAGCGAATGAGATTAATGGAGCCGTTCGTGTTGGAGTTGAAGAGTAAAGGCTTTAATCAGGCCTTTGAAGAGTCGCTGTTGAGGAATTGGAAGAAAAGGAAGAGGAAAATTCGTTGGACAAGTCGAATTCCATGCATCCGAGATTCTCGCCTATTCTGGCAGAGTTTACCATTCGAGTTATAACTCTTGCATCCGAAGTCCAATTGAGCTGATTCAAAATGATTCGGAAAGCTAACTGAAAGATCTACAACTTTCATGTTTTGAGCGAAGAGATATTCGAAGTGGAACAATGTCGAAATTGAGCTTTAATTGCATGCACGTGCACAGCCCAATGTCGCGAGATTAGAAGGGTGATCGAGAAGCCGACTTGAAGATCAAGTTATTTAGTTTACTTATTCACGTTTTTAATTTAGGTTTTATTATGTTTTTATTATTTTAGAGTCTTTTATGGTTAGGATTTGCTTATTTACAAGTTTCCTTATTATAGTTTAGGTAGGAGTCCTTTTCCTTGTGAAAAAGGAGTCTTTTTAGACCTTATAAATAGGTTGCCAATTTGGCTTATTTTCTAAGACGAATTTTAATGAATATTTGAGTATTTTGAGAGTTAATTCTCCTTCGCTGTTCTACAGCAAATTTCGGGATTTTACAAGTGGATTCTTGTAACTTTCTTAGCGACATAATATTGGTTTCTGGTTCTTTATAATCACGGGGTCAATATTCCACCTTGATAATAATGGTTTCTAGCTCTTTATAGCTATGGGGTCATTGTTCCTTGCTTCCGCCAAACTTGAATCTTTGTTTTTTGGGTGTTTTCGATCTTGCTTCCGCGTAGGGTATTGGGTCTCGTAACAAGTTCTACGGGGTTCGTATCAACCTATGACTGAGTTTGTGCATGATTACTATTGCCGTCGCTTGGGTTTCGTTACTGGTTTGTCTAATTGTGCGGGGAAGATCTGGATTTTTTGGGATCACAATTTTCGAGTCGAGTTGCTTAGGGATGAGGTACAATTATTGCATGTCAGATGCATATCTGGTTTATTTGGTGCTCCTTTTGTATTTACTGCGGTCTATGCTAGATGCTCTCGTTCCGAGCGCCGTGTTTTGTGGAATTCGTTCCGCGACATTTTTGAGACGATTGGTGACACTCCTTGGATTTCTGGGGGTGACTTCAACTCAATCTTACTTGAGTCAGAACGGAATAGATCGGTTTCGGATAGAAGACTAGATATGGCTGAGTTTGGTGCTATGGTTTCGGATTGTGAACTTTCGGATGCCGGGTTCTCTGGGGCTAGTTCTTGCTATACTTGGGAGAGCCCTTCAGGTCTTTTGGAGCGTTTGGACAGGATTCTATATAACTCTGCTTGGCTAGATTTACTGCCTATTACGCAGGTTACCCACCTCTCACGGACCCGGTCGGATCATGCTCCTCTTTTGGTTTCATCGGCTGCTTCTTCGTCTAGGCCTCCTGCTTCATTCCGGTTTCAGCATATGTGGATCCGCCACGCTACGTTTCGTCAGATTGTGGAACAGGTTTGGGATTTTCCGTGTGCTCAGACGGGGATGCATCGATTACATACGAAGTTGAGACGATTGAAACAGAAGCTTCAGTGGTGGAATTTGAATGTTTTCGGGGACGTGTTCAAGAATAAAGAGAGGGCCGAGGCAGCTATTCTAGAGGCCGAGCACATATATGACTTGGATCGATCCCCCGAGAATCGTGCAAATTTGAAAAAGGCCACTGCTGAACTTACTCTCATGCTCAATATTGAGGAGGACTTTTGGAAGCAGAAGGCAGCTTGTAGATGGGCGACTGATGGAGAGAGAAACAATAAGTTTTTCCACTCGTTAGTCAAGAAAAAGCGATGTGTCAATCGAATCCACTCTATCTCTCATGGTGATTTGGTTCTCACATCAGCTCAGGAGATCAAGGATTCGGGCGTTGATTTCTTTAGCAAGCTTCTTACCGATGATATGCCTAGTATGCTTCCGGTTGATGAGTCCCTATTTTCCGCTCCTCAAAGGGACTTTTCTTCAGTCTCTACTCGTTCGTCAGTTGAGGAGATCAAAGATGCGGTGTTTGGGATTTGTCGAGATAGTGCTTCGGGTCCTGATGGGTATTCTTCGCTATTTTATCAGCATTGTTGGGACTTGATTCAGTGTGATGTTTGTGAAGCGGTTTGAGATTTCTTCGAGGGTGGATCTATGCCTGCGAGCTTCACCGCTACCACCTTGGTTCTTATTCCAAAGGTGGACTTTCCGACGGCTTGGACAGATTTCCGCCCGATTAGCTTGTGCAACGTGACCAATAAAATTATCACCAAGGTACTTACAAACAGACTGGCACCTCACTTGCCCCACATTATTTCTCCTTCTCAGAGTGGGTTTGTTCAGGGTCGCCTCATTAGTGATAATATTTTATTAGCACAAGAGATGGTCCACTCGATATCAGTTCGTTGTCGAAATCCGAATCTTATTTTGAAGCTGGATATGGCAAAGGCTTATGATAGGGTTCAGTGGCGGTTCTTATTTCGTGTACTCGAGCTGATGGGTTTCTCGGCGAACTTGGTTGATATTATTCGGCGATGTGTTTCGTCGTGCCAGTTCTCTTTACTAATCAACGGGGAGCTGACGGGGTATTTCACTTCGTCTCGTGGTCTAAGGCAGGGAGATCCGCTCTCGCCGACTCTTTTTGTACTTGCGGCTCAGTATTTTTCGAGAGGTCTCGATGCACTATACAGCCGTTGCCCAAGCATGTTTTATTCTACAAGGGGAGGCATTCCTATATCCCATTTGGCCTATGCGGATGATGTGATGATATTTACCTCGTGCCATAATTTTGGACTGAAGAAGCTGCGGGATTTTCTCGATCATTACTGTCGGACTTCGGGTCAGTTGATTAGTGTGCACAAGAGCACTTTCACAGTTGATAGGCCATGTTCTGATGGTCATCTTCGCACTATTTCTCGGATTCTCAGTTATCCGAGAAAGGATCTTCCTATCATTTATCTTGGAGCACCACTATACAAAGGGAGGGACCGGGGCAGTTTGTTTCACACTTTGCTTGATCGCATGCAAGCCAGGATTTCGGGATGGGCTCGGACCGCTTTGGCTTTCGGGGGCCGTCTTGCCTTGATCCGGAGTACGCTTTCGACTATGGCTTTGCATCTTGTTCAGGTTATTCAACCTCCGCAGTACATTATTCAGCAGATTGAGCAGTGCATGGCCCGATTTCTCTGGGGATCTTATGGTAATCAGCGCCGGCCTCATTGGGTTGCTTGGGAGACGATTTATCGGCCAGTTGGTGAGGGTGGCTTGGGGTTGAGGCGTTTGACGGATGTGATTGACGCCTTCACTTACAAGCTCTGGTTCCGATTCCGTGCCCAGGATTCTCTTTGGGCCCGTTTTCTCCGAAACAAGTATTGTCGGAATCGGTTCCCAGGTTCATCCGTTGTGTCTTCACTCTATAGCACGGTGTGGAAGCGCATGTGCCGTGTCCGAGAGCGTGTTCAAGCTCAAATATTTTGGCGGATTGGTCCAGGTCATCTTTATTTCTGGCACGACCACTGGTTTGGCGATGGTCCCCTTTCGGGCATTATTGATGGTGGTCGGCTAACGTCAGTTCGTGTGGAGTATTATTTGGTTAACGGTCAGTGGGATCGAAACAAGCTAGCTGAGGATATTCCTTTTGAGTGGATCGATAGGATTTGCTCGGTCCCAATCTCTGGTGCTTCGGGTGATTTGCCCATTTGGAGAGCTTCTTCGGATGGCAAGTTTTCCTTGACCTCGGCTTGGGCCTTGATACGACAGCAGCATACCCCTACCCCTCTTCTTCGTATATTTTGGGGATCTTGTCTTACTCCTACAATTTCTATCTTTCTTTGGCGTCTCCTTCTTCAGCGTCTTCCAGTGGATACCAAACTTCAGTCTCGAGGCACCTCTCTTGCCTCGAGGTGCTATTGTTGTCCAGATCCATCTATTCTTGTGTCGAGTCTTGTATCTCAGTCTGTCGAGTCTCCTTCTGTTGAGTCGATTGATCATATCTTCGTGGAGAGCCCGACGGCTAAGAGGGTATGGCATCATTTTTTCTATCTTTTTGGCTATACACCTGCACACACTACGCACATACCCCAGATTTTACTTTATTGGCAGCACTTCACTTCGCAGACACTCACACACCACACACACATCACGACCATTGTGCCTTGCTTGATCTTGTGGTACTTATGGATTGCAAGAAATGACAGCAAGCACAAGGATATCACGGTTCGCGCTTCTTCCATCATTTAAAGGGTCATCCAGCACATCAGGATTCTTCACCAAACCAACTTACTTTCGGCGGACAGCTGGACTGGCATTCCCCACGTGGCTGAGTCTCTTGGCCTATATTACCGAGTCAGAACACCAACTCTCACACCTCATCGAGTTGTTTGGCTTCCACCGGATCCGGGTTGGGTGAAGCTAAACACAGACGGAGCACGTAGAGCATCCACCCAGATTGCAGCTATTGGCGGGATTATCAGAGGTTCGGACGCTGAGGCCATAGTTGCATTTCACGAGAGGATCTCTGCCCCGAGCAGTATTGCGGCCGAGCTTGCTGCCCTTGCCTCGGGGCTGCGATTTGTTATTCAGAGGCAATTCACTAGAGTTTGGATCGAGCTTGACGCAGAAGTCGCTGTTCGACTTCTTTTGCACACGGACCAAGGTCATTGGAGTCTTCAGAGTTCTCTCACGGCGATCCGGAACTCTCTTTCTACTTTGGAGTACAGGATTACACATATCTACCGTGAGGGCAATAAAGTAGCTGATGCATTAGCTAACTTGGGGTGTCAGACCGAGTTGGCTCGTACCTTCACAACAGCGGAACTTCCCCGACCGATTCAGCAGATGATTCGGATGGACCAGCTTGGATATCCATCCTTTCGACGACAGTCTCGCACATAGGTGCCATGCATTCCACGTTTTTATATTATTGGCAATTTAGGAATTTTCGTGAACTTTACATGTTAGGAAGGGTTGGGGTTGATTATGGATTGTTTGGGTCTATCAAGACTAGACTGTTTGCCGAATGGTGCCACACATTTCGCAGCCGTTATACCTGTTTCGCCCATTTTTGGCGAAAGTGTAAGTGGCCTCGGCTGTTGTGGTGAGGCGAACGGTCTACCTTGGTCTTCCCCGACCTTCTATGATCATTCCCACCCCGTCCTTTTTATTATTTGGGCCACCTGTTTTGCCCGTTTTCTTAACCTTTTGTTAGTTACCTATTGTCTTTTGTTTTTCAATTGCTATTATTAGCCATATGTTGGGCAGTAGCAATTTGAGCGAAACTCATTATGTACTTTCTTAAAATTTGTTTTATAAACAGGTAGGGGGTCAAGCCTAACCCCCCACCCTCATCGGGTGTCGTTCTCTTGAAAAAAAAAAAAAATTCCTGTCTAATGTCAAATTTCCAAATTCCGACTCGGACATGGTCAAAATTGGATTCCAAAAGCGATCATGAAAATACCCGCTACAGTTCGAGGACACGAATGCGCATAAAGAAACGTGCACAAAAACACTCGCTACAAAAGATACGCACATAAGTAAAAGTACAAAATCATGCACAAAAGTACTCACGCAAAAGTGCATTCGCAAAAAGGTTCATGAAAACACAGACTACAAACCTAGGACATTAATACAAATCAACAAACATGCACAAACACACTCGCTCAAATGGACATGCACAAACGTACATGTAAAAAAACATGCGCAAAAGTGCATTCGCAACAACGTTCTTAAAAACACGAAATACAACACTACGACTTTAATACGCATAACCAAACAACAGCAAGAACACTAGATACAAAAGATACAGTGGAGTGTAGAACTAACACTCAACGTTTACGTTTACGTGGATTTTCTTATGGATTAATTTTCATTTCTGTTTTAATTGGTGGATTTAGTATTCTATAGGTACAAATTGATAATGAGGAGTCCATGAAGCAAAAATGATCAAAGAGTAAGAAAAGAGTTGCAATTAGGAAAATAAAATCAAATTAGAAGAGAGGATCCCTCAACATCTTCGGTAGTGTCCACGAAGTCGAGCATAACTTTCTCATCCGGACTCCAAATCAACTGGTTCCGGCGTCATTACAAAGCTATTTCGCCGGCTACAATTCCTGTCTAATGTCGAATTTCCGAATTCGGACTCGTACATGGTCAAAATTGGATTCCAAAAGCGATCATGAAAATACCCGCTACAGTTCGAGGACACGAATGCGCATCAAGAAACGTGCACAAAAACACTCGCTACAAAAGATACGCACATAAGTAAAAGTACAAAATCATGCACAAAAGTACTCACGCAAAAGTGCATTCGCTAAAAGGTTCATGAAAACACAAACTACAATCCTAGGACATTAATACAAATCAACAAACATGCACAAACACACTCGCTCAAATGGACATGCACAAACGTACATGTAAAAAAACATGCGCAAAAGTGCATTCGCAACAACGTTCTTAAAACCAAGAAATACAACACTAGGACTTTAATACGCAGAACCAAACAACAGCAAGAACACTAGATACAAAAGATACAGTGGAGTGTAGAAATAACACTAAACGTTTACGTTTACGTGGATTATTTTATGGATTAATTTATAATTCTGTTTTAATTTGTGGATTTAGTATTCTATAGGTACAAATTGATAATGAGGTGTCCATAAAGCAAAAATGATCAAAGAGTAAGAAAAGAGTTGCAATTAGGAAAATATAATCAAATTAGAAGAGAGGATCCCTCATTATATTCGGTAGTGTCCACGAAGTCGAGCATAACTTTCTCATCCGGACCCCTAATCAACTGGTTCCGGCGGCATTAGAAAGCTATTTCCGCTGGCTACAATTCGTGACTAATGTCAAATTTCCAAATTCGGACTCGAACATGGTCAAAATTGGATTCCAAAAGCGATCATGAAAATACCCGCTTCAGTTCGAGGACACGAATGCGCATCAAGAAACGTGCACAAAAAAACTCGCTACAAAATCATGCACAAAAGTACACACGCAAAAGTGCATTCGCAAAAAGGTTCATGAAAACACAAGCTACAATCCTAGGACATTAATACAAATCAACAAACATGCACAAACACACTTGCTCAAATGGACATGCACAAACGTACATGTAAAAAAACATGCGCAAAACT